GAAAAGGATCCACCTGCTTCTTGCAGTGCTGGACCTGTTGGCTTAGATATGTCATACTATTCAATTCCCTACCTAGTATATCGAAATCAAAATGGATATGTCATACATGTTTTATCCAATGCAGTTTTTGTTTGCTGACTCTAATTAAAAAAAAAATAAATTCATAAGACAACTGTGATTTCATAAAACACAATATTATATGGTTTTGATTTATTTCATGCGTGTTATATATCCATCTTTAAAAAAAAATCTTATAAACTCAATACAAAGTGCAAACTAAATGAGTAATGTAAATTTGTATGAACCCTTGTTTTATGAAGTTAAATGAGTATGAACCCTTGTTTTATGAATTTAAATGAGTAGTATGTTTTTTGTTTGCTTTCGGATTTCCTTTGTGCATCCTGTGATTGGCCACACCGTGGTCTGTGTTTAAATGAGTAGTATGTTTTTTTCTTTGCTTTCGGCTTTCCTTTGTGCATCCGGTGATTGGCCACACCGTAGTCTTTGTTTAAATGAGTATTATGTTTTTTCTTTGCTTCCGGCTTTCCTTTGTGCATCCGGTGATTGGCCACACCGTGGTCTGTGTTTACTTATAAATTAACTTTTGTTTATTGCCTTATTTTAATTGAAATGAGTAGTATGAGCCATAGTTTTAATGTTTTCTATTATAAATTTGTTTTAATAGCTAATTAATTTAATGTTTTAGGAAGTACTTTTTAATGGACAAGAGTTGGATAAATGCATCTCGTATGAGTAATGAGTATGAAGACGGGGTTAAGCAGTTTTTAGAATTTGCAAATGGAATTGGATGACGATGGATTAGACAAGGTAAGTAATGATCACTTCAATATATTTTTTACGGCCATACTTATTAGATTTAGTTGTTTTCATTATACTAACTTTCTAACTTGAGTTTAAATTTGTAGATGTTCGATAATACTGAAAGCTATTCACAAGAAGAAATTGATGAGATGAGAAATTTATGGTGCCAAAATTTTGTTGATTGTTGGATTAGAGCTACTACATAATTATGACAATGAATTAGTATTTAGTTATTAGTATTGGTTGTGATTGATAATATATATCATGCATGTTGATGTATTGTATGCATTTTGATGCAATTGAATAGCTTTTTATTATATTACCTATGAAATTTGAGATTTACAAATTTGTAATACTGGAATTATTGTATGCATTTTGATCAAATTGTGCGGCTTTTTATTGTATTTAGTATTACAGATTTACAAACTGGAAAATAAAAAAATGTTGAAATATTTTTTTTAAAAAAATATATGTATAGACGGCGGTTGTTTCTTTGAACCACCGTCTAAAAATATTTTATAAGGTTCAAATGATATGTATAGACGGCGGTTCTTAGATTGAACCGCCGTCTATTGATATGTTTTAAGGTGAAAAATATAAGTATAGACGGCGGTTCCTACATTGAACCGTCGTCTATTCATATGTATAGACGGCGGTTCTTACATTGAACCGTCGTCTATTCATATGTATAGACGGCGGTTCTTACATTGAACCGTCGTCTATTCATATGTATGGACGGCGGTTCTTACATTGAACCGTCGTCTCTTCATATGTATAGACGGCGGTTCCTACATTGAACCGTCGTCTATTCATATGTATAGACGGCGGTTCTTACATTGAACCGTCGTCTATTCATATGTATAGACGGCGGTTCTTACATTGAACCGTCGTCTATTCATATGTATAGACGGCGCCTCTTACATTGAACCGTCGTCTATTCATATGTATAGACGGCGGTTCTTACATTGAACCGTCGTCTATTCATATGTATAGACGGCGGTTCTTACATTGAACCGTCGTCTATTCATATGTATAGACGGCGGTTCTTACATTGAACCGTCGTCTATTCATATGTATAGACGACGCTTCTTACATTGAACCGTCGTCTATACATATGAATAGATGGCGGTTCATCAAGAAAAGCGTCGTCTATACATATAATTGTTGAGATTACACGACATACATCGTGAGATTAGACGGCGGTTAGCAACCGCCGTGTTTTAGAAGTATACACGGCGGTTCAAATAACCGCCGTAGAATGTTTTTATTTACAAAGGCGGTCACTTACACGGCACTTCAAGAACCGCCGTGTATTTATAAAAATAACCGCCGTGGTAAGTGTGTTTTGTAGTAGTGGTACTTTCCTTGTAGTTGCTTTTCATAGGCGTTGTCGCCGTTGTTTGGTTGCTTGTTCTTGCTTTTGTGCTTGTTTTGTTTGTAGCCTTGTGGCTTAGTTAGCTTCGTAGTAGTAGTGGTGTTTTGTGTTGGTTGTCTTGCTCTTAGTGTTTGGTAGAAGTAGATGTTGGTGTTAAGCATAGAGTTTGTGATACTCAATCTACTCCTTGTTAAATTCTTGACAATTCTTGAATTGTTATGCCCCTTTTCTTGTTTTGAAGTCCTTGTAGAATCTCTTGAGTTTTGACCAAAAGGATTCGTTCTTGAACATCTTGCACAATGTTGTTTCCTATCACCGTTTGTCACTAATTCGTCGTACCCAAGCTTCGGGGACGAAGCTTCTTTGAAGGGGGAGAGGATGTGACACCCCGAAAATCCACATTCAATCCATGGATTAATTGAGTAATTAATCCTATTTCATTTGAAGAATTAATTCCTAAAATCCTGATTTTTAATACTCAAGAACTAGCATTTGATTAGTCAACTTCAAAGTTGTGTTGTACCTTGAGCTTTGAAGGCAGTTCCCCTGTTCCTTACACTTTCTAAAGGTTAGTAAGGGTATTCTTGACTTTTCACCAAGAGTTAGTATTGTAACCTAACCTAGAAGACTTCTTCATTTCATTCCTTACATTTCCAAGAAATTAGCTCTACCTTCTCTCTAGAAAGAAGTGTAGCTTATTCTCCAAGCTAAGTTGAGACCCTTGTCAAGATTCCAAGATTTGCTTCCATGATTCAACCTTTCACCTATTTGGGCATCTAGGAGGGTAAGATCTAAGTCCATCTTGTGTTTTTTGTTCCATCTTAGATGTTTTTTTCTTAAAGGTAGGATCTTTATGACATTTTGGTTTGATCTTGAAGTGGGTTTGAAAAGTAAGCCTTGTAGGGAGCTTGTTGAGGTGTAAAGTGAAGTCTTTTAGTCTACAAGAGGTAACCCATGCTCTACTAAAACCTATTTTGCTTACATATATGTGATTTCTTGGATTCTACTTGTGTTTTGATATGAAATGTGAGTGTTTATGCATTTGTCTTGTGAAAATGCATATCTAGAGCTTGTGTTTAGGGTTCCTTTGTGCTATTGCTTGGCATTTTCCATGATTCAAGTCATTTTGTTGTATTGGGTGAGATTTGGCATGTTTTGGACTTGAATTTGTGTTTGGAGAAGAAAATCCCCGAAGGGATTTGTTGTGGTACAAGTGTGTACCCGCGGGCGGAACGGCGGGCGGGGCACCACCCGCCGGCCTACCCGCGGGTACGTGCCTTGTGGGAAGGTGTTCCCGCAGGCAGAACCATGGGTGGGGCATTACGCGTGGGTCCACCCGCGGATACATAGGTGGTGATGTGATGGGATTTGTTCCCCGTGATTCTATTGGCTCGGTATTTGGTCTTTTGACTTACCGATGTTCTTTTGTGGAACTATTTGAGCTTCTTCTTGATGTTTCGTATGTCTAGAGCTATATGGTAGGAATCCATGTAGGACTTTGGTGTCTTGAATCGTGCTAAGGGTTCAACATTGTGTTTCATTGGACCGTGAAGTGTCATGTGTGTTTCTCGGGACTCTCTTGAGTTTCTCCATTGATAAGCATGATAGCTTTTCGTCTAAATGCTAGCGTGTGTGTTGTTTGTACCTTCCGTTTGGTTGATGATAACTTGTGTTATTCATCGTTGATGTTGTTGGGCTGTGACCCATTCCTTGATTGAGTATGTTTCATACCTTCGTTGCGATCCGTTGATTGACTCTTGTTGAGGTGTGATGCGTGTGTGGCTTTACCTGGATTGCACGATTAGTGGTATGGGACACTTGTCACCAAGGTATTGCAGCGGACCTCGTGGTGGTCGTGACGTGATTATGGAGCTGTGGCCTTTGTGCAGGGTTCACGTGATTTGGGGATAACATGTGTTATCCGGGCATGTGTTGCCATGTGTGTGTACAGTACCTCGTGTACTATGAAATCGGTGGTTTTGTTGGAGATCTGTTGGAGGGGGAATGACGATTCCCGGGGGAATAAGGTTGGACTTGAAGTACAGGGGTCCTGGAGGTAAAGGTTGGAACTAGATATAAGGGTGGGGGTAGCGATAAGGTTGGAACAGGGCATAAGGAAGGCATTTCAACTCGTGATGTGTGATGTCACGAGGGCTTGTGTAGCCGTGGTTGTGTGTTCTCTCTTGTGCCGTGTGTAGTCACAAAGGCATGTGTTGCCGTTTGTCGTGTCTTTATGATCCAGTTATCCAGTTATCATTTTATCTTCCGCTGTACTAGTTTGGATTGTATGATCTGCAGGTGTTAAGGCCTTTTTATATAGGTCATGTTTGGGGGGTGTTACATCACCCGAGCTTGAGCTTGAGGAACTGCTTTCGGATTCATTATTCTTGGTTGTTTCATTCACAACCATTGCTTTTCTCCTTCTATCATTTCTGTTGTTTGACGATTCTGGTTTGTCATTCCTTTCGCTGGTTTCTTTCATCGTGCCCAAGTCCTGATGTTTACTAACCATTGGGTGCGAGCAATTTTCCTTGAAATGTCTAGGCTTTCGACAATTGTAGCACAACATTTGTGAATCCATATTTCCTTGTCTTGGTGGAAGCGGAGATCTTTCATGTTGCCTTCGGCTTAATGATCTTTGACAGTCTTGAAAGTTGTTTTTCCGCATGAATCTTTTCATTTTCCTAACAAACATGACATATTGTTCGTCAGATAAAAAATTTGAAGAGTTAGAAGTTGACCTATTTGATGTGGAGGGTTGTTGGTTGGCCACCAAAGCCACGTTTCTGATTTCAGGTTCTTCTCACTCTTTTGGTTTGTGCTCGAACTCATAAGCTTTCAGATCGATGAAGATTTTGCTTGTGCTTGTGGTTTTCATGTCGCGATGATCTCTCATTGCGGTAACTTTCATGTCCCATGATTTCGGGAAACCTCGAAGAATCGTTAAATTCTTTTCCTTTTCAGTGAGCTCTTTTCCAGGATCTGACAGGTCACCCAGAAGCTTCGTGAATCTTAGCTCCATGTCGGTGATAGCTTCGTTGGGCATCATCTTGAAGTCTTCAAACTTCTTCATGGCAACAGTGAGTTTGTTGTCCTTTTCTTGCTCATCTCCTTCTCCCAAGTTCATAAGAACGTTCCATATTTCCATGGCTGTTTTACATTTGCGAACTCTTGGGAAGAGAGAGTAGTCCAGTGATTTGTAAAGAATGTCTCGTGCCACATTATCCAGGTTAGCTCTTTTTTTCTCATCCGAGTTGAGCTGAGACTTTGGTTTCGGTATCATCGGTTCTGCATCAGCTCCCTGTGCAGCAGCATTGGTGTTCACCATCATTATTGTGATGGGTCCTGTGCATATGACGTCCCACATTTCATCACCGATTGGCAAGAGGCCTAAATCGGTTATTACCGTGATCCTTTTCCATTTTTCTTTTAGAAAATTAGAGCAAAGGGTGAGAATTTTTTTTTTTTTAATGAAAAGGGATCTACCAGGCAGTAAAGGCAAAGCTTTTACCGTTCAAGGTAACTGCTCTGATACCACTTGTTGGTCCCGGTAGGGTCGAAAGGAGAGTCTAGAAGGGGGGGGGGGTGAATAGACTCAATTCGTTTTCTCGCGAAAATAGCTCTTTTCGGGGTTATTACGCAGCGGATATGTAATATAAGTTTTAGGTTTCTTTGCACTGTTTGATCTTGTGGAGAACTTTCGGTTAGGGCGAGTGGAATGCAATGCACGAAAGTAAACGCTTAAAAGTAAAGAGACAAGGACAAGAGATTTTTATAGTGGTTCGGCCAACTGTTCCTACTCCACTCTTCTTTCACAACTCGTGAAAGGTTTGCACTATCACTCGTAGTACAAATTACACCAAGATAGCTTCCTTGATCACTAAGCCGGACAGCTACTTGAAGGTTTTTCAACTCCTAGAGTTTACTCCGCCTCTATCAACTTCTACTTCAGAGTTGAGGGTTGGAAAAGATTGATCTTTGAGTTTTCTCCAACACAGTGAAGTCTTGTATGGCTGGTGGCTGGATGGATGATCAGCGAGTATAAGGTTGCAAGACTTCCTCAAGATTGTGAAAGATATCAGATTTGCTTCTACAAAGATTCACACCTTGAATCACTGGATTTCAAAAGCTTTGAGAGTGTTTTTTAATACAATGCGCTTTTGAGAGTGAGAGATTGACCGTTTAGAAAACCAGCACCTTCTACTGTGAGGAAGATGGGTATTTATAGGTGAGAAGAAATCCATCCGTTGGAGGGAGATGGCATTTCAAACCTATTATCCAGTGGTTAATAACCAGAGAGCCTTGTGCATTTATTGCTTCATTAAATGCGACTATACTGCATAGCCGTTGGAGACAAACACTTTTGATTATTTTTTCTTCTAGTACTGAAAAGTAGTACTTTGGCATTTAATGCACCATGATAAGTGTGCTCTCATTCCTAGGAGATCTCTCTCTTCCTAGGATGATCTTCAGATGAGACAGATTGACACATTCTTCTTGAGTTGAGAGAAGATGAGTTGTCTTGACAGTCATAAATGTCTCTTTGACAGAAGGCTTCTTTCGGCTTTAGCTTTTTGTTGTAGAAGATCATCTTTCGTCTTTCAGGAGGGACGAGACTTTGCTTCATCGAGCTATTCTTCTTTCGTGAGGAGAGACCTAACTAGAAAATTGCTCTTAACTCGGTTTCGTGTGTTTGTCTGGCTTAACACGAATTACATGTTGAGTTATGGTACCTTTCGTCTAAAACGAAGGTAACGAAAAACAAATGACAAAAAAGTTAGGGGTCTACTTCTAAGTTAAATTGGTATCATCAAAATCCTAATACACATGTTCCTAACAGGTTGGGTGTCCACTATAGAACTTTTATTCTATAGGCCTCAAACCCAGTCCTCGTGCCAACTTCTCAACAACATCTTTGCTCAACTCTTTGTTTAGCGGATCCATTACGTTGTCCTTTGACTTCACATAGTCAACCGAGACAACACCCGTTGTGAGTAGTTGTTTAATGGTATTATGTCTTCGACGTATATGTCTAAACTTACCATTATATATAAAACTTTGTACTATCCCAATTATGGCTTGATTATCGTAATGCACACTAATTGGAGGTACAAGTCTATCCCAACAAGGAATATCCTCAAAAAAATGGTGTAGCCATTGAGCCTCTTCGCAACATTTGTCCAAGGTTATCAGCTCAGATTCCATCGTGGATCTGGATATCACGGTTTGTTTTGAGGATTTCCAAAAAAAAATTGCACCGGCTAATGTAAACATGTAGCCACTCGTAGAGTCCTTCATATCATATATCTAGTTAGTGTCGCTATACCCTTCAAGTACAACATGATATCTTATATAGTGCAGTCCCCAGTTACGAGTATACCTCAAGTACCTCATAAATCTCACTATTGCCTTCCAGTACGCATCACTAGGTTACTCGTATATCTACTGAGTTTGCTAAATCATTAGATATCAGGTCTGGTACAACTCATTAGATACGTCAAACTTCCAATAATCCTAGCATATTCTACTTGAGAAATACACTTTCCGCGATATTTGGACAGATGAACACTAGTATCTAACGGCGTCCTAGCCACTTGATAATCATCCTTGTTAAACTTTTCAAGAATTTTATCAACATAATGAGATTGGCTTAACACAAGACCATCAGGTCTTCTCACGATTTTAATCCCGATGATTAAATATGTCAAACCCATACCCTTCATGTCAAATCTCGAATCTAACATCTCCTTGGTAGATTTGATCATTCAATCGTTACTACCCATGATGAATATATCATCCACATATAAACAGAGAATGACATAACCATCTATCGTTTCCTTAACGTAGACACACTTGTCACTTTTGTTTATATTAAACCCATTGGTTAACATCGCATGGTCAAACTTCTTGTGCCACTGCTTAGGTGCTTGTTTTAAACTATATAACAATTTAACCAATTTGCAGACTTTCTTCTCGTGGCCCGGAACCGCAAAATCCTCAGGTTGTTCCATATAGATTTCTTCATCTAACTCGCCATTCAAGAAAGCTGTTTTCACATCCATTTGATGAACTTCCAAATTCCGCAGTGCGGCTACGACAAGTACATCCATTTGATGGCATATTTCTCCAATGGTTTGACAAACAACATCACTGGATTCGACAACTTTGGCAAATAGGGATGTAAATATGCCATCTTCTAGATCATTTGTCTGCACAAAATTTTGAGGAGATCCGAATGGACTCCTTCTCGGATCTGTGAGAACGATTGTATCAATGAGTTGCATCCCTTCTTCTTCTTCAGGTGATTCGACTTCTTGATTGAGATCACCAATTTCTTCTTCTAAAACTTCTGTTCTCGTGTAGTTGTCTGCAAATAAATCTTCATTTTCTAGAACATGGTCCATGATGGGCATGGTGGACTCGGTATTGTGTACTGGCAATGCACTAGATAAATCTTCCCTATTCTCAGTAGCAACTTCAACTGGTATATCTCCTCTTACTTGCTCTGACATTTCTCTTAATTCTTTTCTTCTTTTATCCCTTTTTGTAGCCATATAATACATTTTTTTAATTTATTTTATTTCCTTTTTTTCTTTTGTTTATCTTCTTGGCTACGAAATATTTGTTCTTTTTATACGACTTAGGGATTTTTCATTTTTAGGAGACAAAGAATGATAGAGAGAACCAGTAGCAAAAATAACCATTTTTCTTTATTTATCTCCTTCTTCGGGAGTGAGAGAGAGATAATATTTTCAGATCACATCACATATCCAGGCTTCATTGGTAGAGAAGCTAGCATCGTGATTAGCCTCAAGATCAGCATGCGGTGGAGACGGAGAGCTTGATTTCTAAGCATAGACTAATCCGGGTTCCATTGGAGGTTGAGCAGATCGCTTAAAGCTGCGGGTTTGAGGTCGACATGACAGGGGTTATGGTGTTTTGAGCGTCATAGCTGCACTTCTGAGACTTTCTGACCTTTTTGAACTTGATCCTTGGTTGGTGGTTGTCCTTCCTCTTCTTCAGAGAATAGGATGAGAGGATCACTAGGTGTGTCTCCAACTTCATGTCCTCCATTTGCAGCACGTCAAGCTCTCAGCATCTCTTGTCTTGCTTGCTCGGCCACTCTCTTGGAAGATCTTCTCTTTTCTTGATTCTTTGGAGTCATCAAAGCCTACAAAATTAGATACAAACAAAAGAAATCTCCACACAGACTAGTTTGCCTCTGATCCAAATTTATAGGCTTAGGAAAGTGCTAGAACCATGTGGGCTAATGATGAAGGGTTTGAAAGGTTTCCTTTGGATATAGCCGACGTTTGGTTTCAAAAGGTGTGATGAATGCTTGCATGACTCTTCATTGGTCGAGAAAGCGGTGGATGTGATGGGTAGCGGTTTCTAGGAGAGTTAATGAGGGATTAGGGTGACGATTTGAGAGAGAGTATGTGAATCTGTTAGGGAAGGATTTTGATTTGGGAGAGGATTATGGGGGGAGGTTTAGCTTGGGTGGAAGTTTAATATGGGTAGGAGTTTATATGTGGAGGTTTGATGCCCAATTGAACTCTGATTTTCCTCCTTTATCTCCTGATTTCCTTCTCAAAAACGTGCACCACAAATATAATCACACTCAAACATCTCGTTAGTAGTAAAAATTAATCCATAAATAATCAATCACACATAACAATATATATTAATCATACACACGGCAATTTCCAATCAAAACACACACATTTTGGAAATTAACAAAATTATCACACATATTCCAAATTTATATTTAGAAACCTCTTCACATAAATAGCACAGAAATCAGAGTCTAAACATTTTAGAAAATAACAAAAAATATTAATTTTCAGCTCAGATTTCTAAAACATTTATATCACATAAATCACATATGCACGAAAAACATATATAATATGCAATAAACACATTAAATTAGATTTTTAAAACAAATTGTTCATGCAAACAAATTAATTAACTTATACAAACATGAACACATATTCGTAGATTAAATAACACGTTGAATCATGCAATTATAAACAAATTGTCAAATAATCACAAATTGCACATTTCATTAAATTAATTTGCATGACATATGATTTCACGTTAAATAACACATACAAATACACAATTAAATTCCTAACACATATTGCAATTTTATCACATAAAAATTTCAAATAAAAATATGCATATAAACATGTAAAACAATTTATTTTGAGCACAAGTATCAATTTAAATTCAGAGATTCAGTCCAGTGATACTTAGCTCATTTCGATCATTCCCAATTCGTGCCTTAAGGTAGAAAATCTTGTTTCGCATAAAGGCTTCGTGAGAATA